TATAGTGATGCTCGGGCTCCTGGTGGTAGGACTGAGACTATGTCATTTACAGCAAGAAGGAATAAAGTGGTACTAAGCACACTTCCTTGTGGGACGCCTTCGAATTGAGGAAAGGATGATGAAGTGGAAGAGGTAATCTTGACCTGGAAAGTACGTTTAGAAAGGAAGGATTTGATAAACACGCCCATGTTTCCACGTAAACCTAAGGAGGATAACTGTTGGAGGATATGATATCGCCATGTGGTGTCATATGTTTTTTTCTAGGTCAAAGAATATGGCTAATTCGGATTCATGGCGTGCAAATGCCGATGTAATATATGTCTCGAAATGGGCAAGTGGGTCTGCTGTACTTCGGGCACGTCGGAAACCAAACTGGGAAGGGGAAAGGAGCTCATGAGATTCAAGATACCACATTAAGCGGAAGTTAACCATTCGTTCTAGTAGTTTGCACAAGCAGCTAGTTAGATCTATGGGGCAGTAATCTTGGGGTAGGGTACCTGATTTATTGGGTTTTAAGAAAGGTAGGAGGAGAGCATCTCGCCAATGAGAAGGAAAATTTCCTGACGTCCATATGTGGATGAAAATAGTTAAAAGGAAGGATAGAGAGGAAGATGGGAGGTGTCGGAGCATACGATAGTGAATACCATCAGGGCCTTCATGAGTGTTGCGGCACGACTGTAATGCAGCGTTGAGTTCAGAAGAAGAAAAAGAAACGTTATAGGACTCGTCAGAGGATAGGGTGAAGGTAATAAGGATGTGTTCTTTGATGGCTTTAATGGAAGAAAAGTGTGGGGAAAGGTGAGAGCCACTACAGACCTGGCTGAAATAGTTGCCCAGTTCATTAGCTACATCGACAGGCTCAGAGATGAGAGTATCTCGAATATGGAGGACGGGTGCAGGATGGGGGGGATGTTTGCCTGATAATTTATGGATCCGTCGCCAAACAGCTGAAATAGATGTAGAAGATGTAATTGAGGAAACAATTTTGCCTGCTATTTATTTTGCTGTTTCTAATTGTAAGGCGAAGATGGGCAGATGTTCTTTTAAAGGAAATAAGGGCTGATAGCTGGTGAGGGGTGCCTCGTTTGTAGTGATAGCTGTTCCAGGCTGCTCGTTTTAAGCGAAGCGCTTTGGTCCAATCAGAATTCCACCATGGAACACATTTAGAGGTATAAGGTCTTGAAGTTCGAGGAATGGCTGTATAGGCAGCTCTTAAGATCGTGGTTGTAAAACATTGTAGCATATCTGATATGGGCGGTAAAGGGGTGGAGGGATAGGTATACTAGAGAGTGAAGTGAAAGTATGCCAGTCAGCTCTATCAAAGCACCAGCGTGGAGGATTAGGAAGTGGTACATATGAAGTAGGAGAAAGGAGTATTGTGAAGTGGTCAGTATAGGGGAAGTGGTCTAGAACTGACCAATGGAAATCTAAATGTAGAGTAGGAAATCATAGAGAGAGGTCAAGGCATGAAAAGGATTGTGTGTGCGTGTGTGGGGCGATCTGAATTAAGAATAATCAGGCTATTTGTGAAGAGGAAGCGTTCTAGAGATCAGCCTCGGGAGTTGGTGGTAGAGTCACCCCACAGAGTGTGGCGGCAGTTGAAATCACCAACTACGAGGAAAGGTAGTTGGAGTTGGGAAATTAGAGTTTCAAAGGCAACAAAGTCAATGGGATGGGATGGAGAGAAGTAGACTGAAATCACTGATCCAGCGGCGAAGAAAGATGCGAATAGCTGTGCACGGGACAGTATTTTGTATGGGAGGTATGACATAAGGTGTTTTATGATGGATAAGTATAGAAGAGACATAAAGGGAGTGTGGGGAAGAGATAAAATGGTAATTGGGAATTGGAATAGGAGGGTGTGTGAGGAAAGTCTCTTGGAGGCAGATAATAGATGGATTATAAGAAGCAAGGATATGACGTAGGTCTGATCTATGAGAGCGGAAACCGCGAATATTCCAATGTAGGAGTTATTTCTTAGTTGATTTACGAATGATAACGCAAGTACATGTTGGGGAATTTGAAGGGGAAGGAGCTAGGGGTAAAAGGAGGGGATAGGAGGTAGGAAATCTGGGGAAGAGCATTGTTGTGACATGAGTGATTCCCGTGTGTATCCGGGAGGGAGTGCAAAAGATAGAGGGGATGGAGGGAGAGAAAGTGTGCCTATAGTTGGGGTTGAAGGGGTGGGTTGTGTTGGGAGGGAGTAGATGTGGGAGTATTAGTGGTATGAGGATGGATATCGGAAGGATGGGTAGTTGGAGTTGAAGGGGATGTGTTGTCTCGGGAGGGATTAGGAGGAAGGGTGTAGGGTGCTGTGAGTAAGAGGGGATGGATATCAGAGGATGGGTATTGGGAGGGATGGATATCGGTGGTGGACGGAATGAGAGGGGTTAGGTTGTGTTGAGAGGGAGTAGGAGGAGGGGGTGTACGAGGGGGATGGATGTCAGGAGGATGGGTATTGGAAGGATGGATATCGGTGGTGGACGGGATTGAGGGGGTTAGGTTGTGTTGAGAGGGAGTAGGAGGAAGGGTTAGGGGAATATTGGTAGGAGGGGTATGAATATCGGCAACCATTTCAAGTGTGGAAGGAGCATGAGTTATGGGATCTTTTGTCTCAAGCATATAGCTTTGAATGTCATCCATTGTTTCTGCAGTGGAATTGGTTGGAGAGTTTGGTGGGAAGGTAATTGTTTCTGCAGTGGAGTTGGTTGGGGAGTTTTGTGGGATAAAGGTTTTCTTATGAGGGGGGGGGGGAGAGGAGACTGGTGTCTCAGGAATAAAGGTAAAGGTAGGTGGAGGTGATTGTGCTGTAGGGGAAGAAGGGTTAGAACGTTTAGTCTGTCTACTGCGGGTAGTGCGGGGAGGGAGAGGAGGTGGTGTTGGGGCTGTAGTTGAGATTGGAGCTGTGGTTGAGATTAAGGTGTCTGGGTTTAGAGTGGTAAAAGAATTAGTCTGAGGGATGTAGAATGTAGAAGTGGAAATGGGGACATCTTGGGGTGGAGGGGAGGGGCTGAGCGAATGATGTTATTAGAGTATGGAGTATGGGAGAAACTTTGTCGACGTGCTTCCTGTCTGGCTTCACGTAAAGTGAGACCATTTTTGTATCTGAGAGTTGCTATCTCAGATTCAAACTTGTAAGTGGGACAGCCTCTATAAAATACATTATGGGGCACGCAGCAGTTAGCACATGTTCGTGTTTGTGCTGAGCAGCTTGATCGATTATGACCAGGTTGGGCACATATGGGGCATCGATCTGTGGAACGGCAATGTTTGGCAGGATGTCCAAAGCGCCAACAGTTTTGACATTGACGGGGAGGGGGTTGGTATGGTCGAACAGAGAGGGATTGTCCACCAGTGTAGATACGTAAGGGAAGGTCATGTGTACGGAAGGTAATTTTGGCAATATTGGTCGGATTCTTTCGTTGACCTTTAGGAGGAATGGTGTAGCAATGTACTGATTTCACATCTTGGTCTTTGAGGCATCCTAATAAGTCTTCTCTCCACAGTCTGACCAATCTTTGGTATCGACTGGGCAGTTTGCTGGGGAGAGAGAGACAGTTCCGGTACAGGTATTAAGGGTTGGGTGAGGTTCTGCAGGAATGGGGTTGCCAGAATGATCAATTAAATTTGATAGTGCTAGAGATTCAGTTTCTGATCTGACTGTTACAAGACGGGAGCGATCGCGTCTGGTATAGAAAGAGACCCTGCCAACTTGTTTTTGGAGGCATTGTTGAAAGAGAATAGTGTTGCCTGAGTAAGGAGCTGTAGAAGGGATCACGGAAAATCGGTCCCATTTAGCTGGGCTACACAGAATATTTAAGATATCTGTAGGGTTGGTGGTGGTGGATGGTCGGGGACGTGTGGAAGAGGGAGTATTACGGAATGATGGAGAATAAGGCTGTAAGGTAGTAATAAGGGACGATTGGGTGTTTGATGAAGGTTGCGGGGTAGAGTTGATGAATCTGAGGGTAGGAAAGTCTTCTGGAGATATGAGTCTCTGCTTGGGTGGTTAATGCACTAGTAGGCATTGAGGAGTGGGTAGTAGTTTCAGTGTTCGGAGAAGTGGTCAAAGGAGAGCCTGGGTTGGGGCTATTTGATAAAGGGGCTAGCCTCATTGCCTCTAATAAAAGAATTACATTTTCATTACCGGTCATGGGGAACCTTGATTATATAAAAAGGCTTAAACGGTCCACCTCCTTTCGCTACTGAAGGTACGGGCTAAAATTAAATCGGGAGTACCGTGCCCATAGTTCCCGCAGGCCGTTCAGGACTGGCACTAGGTCAGCCTTTCATCCTCTCAGCACGGCTCTCACACCTTAGGAAGTAGATAGTAGAAGGGGATGGAGAAGGGACGGAAACAAAAGCTGGAGAGGGAAAAGATCATGCAAAATTTGTTGAGTCGAGGGCTGAGGCCCTAGGCAGGGAAGATCCCTGTACTGGGTCTCAGTCTTCGTCTCCTAAGCGCCCCCCCCCCCCCACGACAACGGGCAAGGGATTGAGGGGGATCCAACCCCCAAACTCATCTTTAATTTATCGGTTTATTTTTGGCGATTCTCCACTTATGTCCACTTTTTAGTTAAGATTTTTTGATGATGGGTTTAAAGTCAATGTGTGGAAGGGAAAATATGGCATTACTAGTCCGAGAGGTAGCAGCCTTCGCTTCTTGGTCTCTCTTATTTCCATTTTATAAAGGCTTAGAAAAATGTTTTTTTTATTGAAAAATATACAAGACATGATTTGGTTACATCCTGTAACAAAGTTTGTATTTAACCGATACACATATTTACTTATGGCAATCACATGTATAATTGGTATCGAAGAGACCGGCTATCACTGTCCTTTGTGGTTCATGACTTATGTATATGGCTCTGGTAACAACGCATATTCAGTCCCTTTTTAAACTATATAAGAAATACATACAAACATTTTCCAGGAAAGAAACACTCCTGCAGTAGTATAATATATATGGTTGTCACATTGTTTTAAAGAATACAACGAAATACTCATATATAATGTATTTCATATCGAATCAGTACATAAAATATTGAAGCTATGAATTTATGAAAAGACATGACAAAATTCTGTTGAACATGGGTCAGTGTTAATATGACCGACCAAACAGGGTATAGGCCTGTGGCTTGTCCTTGCAAGAAGGGTGGATACACGAGAGGCGACTCACGTCTCCCGGCTGTTCGAAAGGAATGCAGAGTCCCTTTGCACCCATTGCTGGTGCTCCTGGCTCAACTGCTTCCTCTCGTGCAGAATCCTTCTTGATGGCGTCTTCGCATTCTTCACGGCCACAGAAGGGTGCAAGCAAAACATTACCCTTGTCCAGATTGCCAGTGAAATCATTCCACGAGGTTACCTGAACCTTATGGGAATCAAGATCTGCCTTTGCTCGGTTAAAGAGGCTTGACTGGATATTGTTGAGGAGTGCATTGATTTCCTGCCCCGCAGTCGCACGACTCACAGCCTTCTTCTCCCCCGTGTCACGACGCACCGCAAAAACCTCGCCTGCTGCCACTTCTCGCGGGCCAAGTTCCAGTCTCAGAGGAACACCTTTCAATTCCCAGTGGTTGAATTTCCATGCTGGAGTCACATTGTCCCGCATGTCACAGCGTGCTCGAACTCCACAAGCCTTCAGGTCTTCTACCAGTTTTTGGCAAGCTGCAATCAAGTTGGTCTTATCATCTTCTGTGGATTTGGCTGTGATTCCAACAGGCATTATAACTGCCTGAATGGTGGCAACTCTTGGGGGTAGCACCAATCCCTTATTGTCACCGTGAACCATTACCATCACACCAATGGTACGAGTTGTAAGACCCCAGCTGTTTTGGTAGACATATTTTTTCTGCTTTGTCTCAGGATCTTCAAACACAATCTCAAACATTTTAGAGAAGTTTTGTCCCAGATGATGAGATGTAGCTCCTTGAATTGCCCTGCCACTTGCAGAGATAAAAGCTTCCGTGGTTGTGGTGAAGTCACCTCCAGCAAATTTCTCTTTCTCTGTTTTCCTGCCTCTCACGACAGGTACGGCCAACAATTCTTCATAGACTTGGGTGTAGAAATCTAGAATCTGGTAAACCTCTTCCTCAGCTTCAGGTTTAGATGCAAAGGCAGAGTGCCCCTCCTGCCACAGGAACTCACGAGTCCTTAAGAATGGTGTGGGTTGCTTGAACTCCCAGCGTACAACATTATTCCATTGATTGAGACGCATTGGTAGATCACGGTGAGACTGGATCCACTTAGCAAATGCTGGATACATGACAGTCTCAGAAGTGGGACGGATGGCAACAGGTTCTGCCATTTCACTTGATCCTGACCTTGTTACCCAAGCTACCTCAGGTGAGAAGTCTGCAATGTGGGTCTTTTCCTTCTCTAGGGCATCACGAGAGACAAAGATGGGGAAATATGAATTCTCCACACCCAAGTCCTTAATCTTTTTGTCAAAGAAATCTTTAATAAAGTCCCATATGGCATATGACCAAGGCCTCAAAATGTAACATCCTGAGACATTGTAGTATTCAATCATCTCTGACTTTGTGATGACCTGGGAGTACCAATCAGAAAGATTTTCTTCCTTTTTAGCTTCTAGGCCTAGCCTAGTCTGTTTCTTCATAGTATTATCATCTTGCTTTGCAGCTGCCTTGGTGGTCTTAGTTGGTGACTTTTCTTTTGATTTTCTACCTTCACTAGGTGTAGCTGCAACCTTAGCACCAGCAGGAGCAGCTGTTTTGGCTCCAGCACATGGGGCTGATGCTGCTTCAGCAAACTGAGATAAATCTATTTCAGGTTTCCAATCCAATCCACTTGCCTCTTTAAACTGTGCTTTAAGTGACAAAAGTACATCAACTTCACCCTTAATTTTGTCCTTGTCTGCCTTGCTTGCCTTCAACTCTCGAACTTTGTCACCCTGAGCTTTGATCTGGCTATGGATTTCAAGGACCTTTCCCCCTTTTCCTGAAGTGCCCTTATCTGAAGGTGACCCAGCAAACTGTGAAATATCAATGTCGGGCTTCCAGTCAACATTTACACAATCTTTAAATTGTTGCTTCAAGGCTAAAAGCTCATCCACTGCTTTCTTTATGACATCTTTCTCGGCTTTACTTGCCTTTAAGGCTCTTACATTATCCCCTTGTGTCTTAATTTTATTGTGGAGATCTAATGCTGCACTTGCAATTGCTGAAGCTGTAGCAGTACTTGATGTCACAGCATTTACTGTCCCAGCAAACTGTGAGACATCAATGTCAGGTTTCCAATCAATATTGGTTGCATTTTTGAAATCTTTCTTCAGACTTAAAAGAACATCAACTTCAGCTTTAATGGCATCCTTATCAGCTTTACTTGCTTTTAGAGTCCTGACCTTCTCACCTTGAGTCTTAATCTTATTGTGAAGTTCTAGAGCTTGGTTTCCATCACCTGCAATAGGAGCTGGAGTTGGAGCTAAAGCAGGGGCAGCAGCATTGGCTGCAAACTGAGATATGTTGATGTCAGGTTTCCAATCGACATTAGTTACCATCTTGAATTGTTTCTTTAGTTCTAACAACACATCAACTGCTTGCTTGATAGATTCTTTGTCAGCTTTGTTTGCCTTCATTTCACGAACTTTGTCACCCTGTTCTTTGATCTGGGCATGAACTGCCTGGGCAGACTGTCCACCAACAGGTGCAGAACTCTCTAGAGCAGAAGATGGAAGTACTACATCAGGCTTCCACTCAATGCCAGTTACATCTTGAAATTCCTTTTTCAACTTCTTCAAAATCTCAACTTCAGCCATGACGACATTCTTGTCTGCTTTGTTGCTCTTCATCTGTCTAATCTTATCACCTTGCTCTTTAATCTTATTGAGCAGTTCTGCCCCTCCACTAATACTAGTTGTCCCAACCACTGGTTTCACCTCCTCCTGTGGACTCTTCTCTGCCTTTTTGCCTTGTGCACTCTTGCTCTTTTCCTTGTCACTCATTTTAGCCAGTTTCTTAACAGAGGCTGCAGTTGCCACATCCTTGGAATGACCATCAGGAATAGAGAATAAGACAACAGGTTTCTCCTGGCAGCTACTGAGACTAGCTGGTTTGTATGACTCATCTACACGGAAGAAGCCCTTCCTCTGCAGCTGGATGATCTCTCCAACTTTAAGATTCTTCAACTCATCATCTCCAACCATCTTGACCTCAGCACGTGTGTTGTGGCCAATGAAGTCCTTAAAATCTTCATCCTTCCCCAACACACTCTTGTTGACTAGATGATCAAAGTACACACAGACAACAGGAGTAAAGGTGGTTTTATCTGTGTCAGCTAACCATGTCAGCTTCAAGGTCTTCCTGAAATCTTCATTACTTAGATCAGCCACAGCATCTACTGACACTATTTTTCCATTAATATTATGAATTTTTTTGATAGTGATGTTGCCCCAGTTGATGAAAGTAGCATTTTCCCCTTCCTTGAGTTCTGCAGCATCAACAGGCTCAATGAGAACACGTGGTCCACGCCACACTGTTTTGTTGCCAATGGAAGGATCCTTAGGGTGCTTTTGGGCTACAGTGGACTCCTCTTTAACTCCTGCAATGTTTACTGGAACAAGATCTCCTTGTAGTGCTGTGTAGCGAGGGGCAATACGATCAATAACTTTTTTGTTGAATGCCCATATTTTGTCCCATTCCATGTTGACCACTGATCGGGATGATCCCTGGGCAATTATAAAATCTTTCAGACCTTGGACAGTCATGCCTCTTCTTAAAATACCCCTCACAGTTGGGAACCTTGGATCATCCCAGCCATCAACATATCCTTCATCCACAAACCATGTAAGTTTACGCTTGGACAGAACAGTGTTGTTCATGTTTAGGCGCGAATATTCATAGATATGCAGTGGTCTTAATCCCAGCTTTTCAATGAACCAGAAGTACTGGTCATCACGATCATGGTATTCTGTTGTCCTCAGAGCATGTGTGACACCTTCAATGCTATCAACAACTGGGCAAGCAAAGTCATATGTTGGGTACACCTTATATTTATCACCTGTCTTTGGGTGAATTTCATTCTTGCATCGGTAGATTGTGGGGTCACGCATACATCCATTGTTACTCTTCATGTCAATCCTTGCGCGAACACAGCACTTCTGTCCATACTCTGTACCCTTCTTCATTTCCTCCCACATGCTGAGATTTTTCTCAATAGAATTGTTGTAATTCTTGCTTTCCTTTCTCTCTTCACGCTCCTTCTTCATGGTTTCAGCATCAGTATCATCACAATATGCATGGCCTTCTCTCAGCAGTTTCTCGCACAGCTGAATAAGCAAATCAAAATGATCAGAAGTATTAGAAAATATGTCAGGTTTGATCTCTAGCAGATCAACATCCTCAAGAATGACCTTTTCATAGTGTTCTTTCTCCTTTGCAGGATTCGTGTCATCAAATCTCATGATCAGTTTTCCCTGAAACAAAATAATAGGATAAATTAGATTTTGAACAAACATCAATGTATGTACTTGCTTAATCCATTAAAAATATTCATTTTCCTTTTCTTTTAAAATCATGTATATCTCCCTTCTAATCAATAAACACAAATCAATTTTGTTAATTTACTTTCTTTCAGAAAAATTAAATATACACTTTCATTCTTTTTATCTTGAAAAGGTATACCATGGTATTACCATCAGTGTCAATTTTGTTAAATTTTCAACCTTACTCTATGAACAAATCTCATAGTCAATTAAAAAAATCTACACTTTCTAAAAAAAAATAAAATGAAAAAACTCACAAAATACAAACCTTAAATGCCAACTGATAGTACTGGTTGAGAAGAGCAGCCTTAGCATGTCCAATGTGCAAATACCCACTCGCTTCAGGGGGGAATCGCACCACAACCTCCCCCATCTTAGCACCTGGCAGCTCCACAAACTTTCCCCCTTCTTCGGGTTTCTTAAAAGGCGAGGAAGTGGGTGCTGCTTTGGCCACTGGAATGAGGGCATTCCTAACCTCTTCTGGTAGTGTTGTGATACACTCAGAAACCTGTGGGTCAAAGGTTGTTGAAGTTCATCAGGTGTTGTCGCAGCGAATGCAGGTACTCTAAACACCAATTGTCTAGATCTATTAGTTTTTATATACAGTAATAACTGCTAAAATCAGACAAACTATACATTAATGCCTTGTCCTGACTTAAAACTTTTAAATGTAAGTCAAAAACTGCTAGTATGGCATCTGCTTATCATACTAGTGATGATCATGATAAGATTTCATAAATTTCATAGAAAAGACCCCACTGGTACTAGCTTTGGTGGTTCACATTCTTACAACACTGAGTGATGAACCCAGAAGCGGAGACAGCACTTTTGCTACTTATCCACACAGAATTAAAGTAAAGATTATTTATCTCACCCTCATGGAAAAATGAATGTACTAATATTCCATGTCTCAAAGTATTCCTGTGCTAAAGTTTCTACGAAGGAAAGAAGTAAAGAAGATAGATTGAAAAAAAGAGTGGGCAAGTGAGAGAAAAGGAAAATGAGAATAGGAAAGAGAAATTAAGAAGGTAAAATGAATGCTGGAATCCGAAACAAAGCATGAAAGATTTTTTTTTTTTTTTTATCAGAACAAATAGAGTTGATGTTTCAGACTCTTCTACTCCATTGGTCACCTTCAGCCATCCATTACAATTGTATTCTAATGCCCAGGGATGTCCTAGATGGATGGCCTATCAGTTCCACAAGAAAGAAACAATTATTATATGAGGGAGGGAAGGAGAGAGGGAGAGAGGGAGAGAGGGAGAGAGGACAGATATGACCTTAGTTTCCACAATAATTCACATAAATCATAAGAATGTTGTCAACCCATCTACATATATAAAGCATTATCTTTAGGCACATACAAGTATTTATCTGTTTATTACTTCTGTATAATTAATGTTTGGAACAAATGAATGAATAATAAAATTTTCAAACAAATAGACTGATTACTAACATCTAACAAGACTTTTATCGGGAATGCAAATTATCCAGCAAACAAACAAGCAACTAAGAGGTTTTGTAAAAAAATTGTTTTAATTTCTATATAAAAAAATACATGTATTCATTTCAAACAAACACTTGTTACAATAAAATTAACATCACACTAAAAGTCACAATAACAAAAAAGAAATTAAGGATTATTTTGATGGAAATTTTACTGAATTTTTCAAAGCTAACATGTCAACTAACTGCTCAGCTAACATTTTAGCTTAACCCAATGCTGACAAAAAATGTTGCATTCACTTTAGTATTTTGTTAAAATATTTCTGTAATTTGAAGATAACCAGAAGTACTGGTCATAAATGACTTGACTAATTGACTAATTGACTCCTTTGTGGCTGAGCACTGGCTCTGTCAGTGCTTAGCCACAAAGGAGTCAATTAGATCTTGTGACCTTACCTTTCATTGAAATAGCAAGAAAATGCTTTTTTTACTACTGCTATCAACATCAGCATTGTATTACTATATTGTTATTGACATTACTAACAGCAGTATTAAATAATAGAAAATATTATTGAAAATCAAGGAAGAGGGTAAACAGGTGAGACAGGTAGTTCTTGTTATTGGCTTACTGGTGACTTAGTACTTGCGCACATGCCATCCCCAGCAGCAAATCATGTAATTTTGTTGTATCTTATATTGAATCATGGCTAATTCTTCAGATGTACAGGTATTCAAAGTCAGTCTTTAATCAGTTTTCATTCCCTCAACACAAAACTAAAGCCTTCCCCTCCCATGCAGTATGGTTCCCTTAATGAGCAGTATAATAACAAAGGTTACCTGTATTGATAATATGTATAATATTTAGCAAAATTCTAAGATCTCCACTATATGATTCTCACTGGCCCTAAGAAAACAGAACCTGGTCTAGCCAAAAACATTTAAATTCTTGCTCTCCTAGCTTGACGTACAGCAAGCTAAGGTCTCGGTAATCCATGGCTTATGTCTGATTCCTGAGCTTGATGCTAAAAATTATACATCTTGAGAAATTTTAGAAAAAAAATGGAAGTAACTAGATACAGAACCATGAAATAAATAATCATATGAAGTTGTTCTTTACCTGAGTTTCAATGGAGTTGTGCCAACGCAGCACATGTGTTGGTGCTTTGTTACTGCTGACAAGAGATCTCCAGGCTGCATTTTCTGGAAAGCAATACAAAGTAATGAGTCAATAACCCTGAAGATTTAACTGATGTGACATTCTCATCCTACAACACTCATTGTAAAGCAAGATATATATTTTGAACATCTAATGTAAATTACCATTTCTCAATCTGAATTCACAGAATACATCTTACTGTAGAGAGCAGCGAAGACTTCTAGGTCGGCTACAGTGACTTGCTTTCCAACAAGCACAGATGCAGGTGCCAAGGCCTTGTCCATCTGGCTTAATGTGGAGCTGATGTCACCTCCACATGAAAGGGGGCCTGAAGCAGTTGACAGCCAGTGGTCTACCTGCAGAGTAAATATTTCATTGGTGAAAAAGGCAAAATGCAGAAAATATTAACAACTAAGTTTTGTAACCATTGGGATCATTAAAAGTACTGAGTCACCAAGACAAAATAATTTTATCAAAAGAGTCAACAATACAAACAATAATGATATCAACACAATAAGTGAATGCTCATATGTTACCTCTGTGCGATGCAGAATGTGAGACGGATACAAGTTGAGGGATGGGTTGACACGTGCCACATGGCGAGAGATGCCATGCGATGATGAGATGCTAACATTTTCTGTAAGTGTCAGGCAGGTGTCCTTGCCCCACTCAACTTGTACTCCTGCCTTGAAGCATGTCAGGAGTGCTCCTGCAAAAAAAATATTGATTATTTCCTTTTTCCTCTTGCAGATTGTGAGCACCACATGAGCAATAAATAAATGTGATTGTTTAAAATCCTAACAAACACTACATACATGATGAATGAAAGGAAAAGTTAACCCAGTGCCGACGGGTAAAAATTTTGGCAAGTGGACATATGAACGGGATTGTTGGTGCGCATCGGCAGTTTCCCCTGTTTGCGTACAGCTCAATCAGTAGTTTGCGAGCGACATTTAGCACCTTAAAGCTTTATTTTGATATAATTTATAAAAATATAAAAATTTTGAAGGTTTACCTTCATTATAGGTGCCATTGCCTAAAATCTTTACCATATAAATGAAGCCGCTACTACTGGAGAAAAAGAAACTCTGTGTGACAAGCCAGTGGCGCGGGAATGGGCATGATACATTGCCATCCGTGTTTCGGTCCACAACAGCCATGGCATGTACGTATATGCCACCCATCGGCTACGGGTTAAAATGTCATCGGCT